TTGAAAACAAAAGATAAACTTCTTCATTGGTATACAATTCCCCCCCCCGACCCTCCCTCTCCCCCACCCCAAATGCACTCCACTATGCAGCCTTAATTCTGGATTCCTGTGATAATCGTAATATGATTTCTACTTTTAACCTCCAGAATGATGAGAAAATAATATTTTTTTTTAAAGCTACTCATTTGTAGTATTTGTGTTACATAACACTAGGAAATAAACAAGGAAAGGCCTTGAGAAGAAAAAAAGAAAAGAGAATTCAGGTGCTGAATGCTAGGTATCAGGCCTGGGACACTGAAATGGTTAGGAAATGTGGGCAGGCTGCCATTAGACTGTGCTACTTTGAGGAACTATAACCTTGGGTGGGTGAAGCTTCTCTAAAGTAATGTATACTCTGTGCTCTGTAATAATGTAGACTTTGACATCTGTCTTTTAAGAACATCACAACTTCCTTTTATCTTCCAGAAATAATAATAAAAAAATCCTACCCTATTATAAAACAAAAAGACTCTGCATACATTGTATTCTAATTTCCACATTAACTTACCTCCTGTCTCCATCCAAATGACCTGAATAAGTTGAAACCATTCATCCTTCTAAGCCAAAGCGAAACCTAGCCAGCATCCGCTTTTGAAATTTCTGTTGGGAAAATGTCCTGGGTATGATAATTATCCAGGTAATTTTTTTTCCTCCCAGGAGGATAGGCAGTTATTTTGACAGCTTATTTCACTGTTACTGCTAAAGTTTACATTGTCAATTAATGGGAATACACCAGGTAGCAGTCAGGAGCTCTCCGGGGATAATCTCTAAACCATTTCCAAATGTCCTTTATGGAAGCATATGGTCATATCCTCCACTTCATCACCAGGTCAATCAGCAGTTGCTCTTTAATATGGGATGTTCTTCATGCATCAGTGCGATTTCCAAGCTCCATCCCATTTGTTTTTTCCCCTATGGTGCTTGAAAGTTGCTTAAGCCACTGATTATTGCCTTGCCATGAGCTCTGATCGCTCTTCTGGGTAGCAGGCATTCAGATGCCATCTTTAATTTGTGATATTAATATTGAACTCCATCACCGTTCAGTGGTTTTAGTGAAGTATTTACATATAGACTAGCAAAGTGTTTGAGTGGTGCATTGAAAACTGTCCGCTTACTAATTGGAACCGTAAAGTTTACCACAGCTGCATGACATGGATATGATTTCTGGTTATATAGCAGGGCCTGGAGATTTGCTTTCAAAAACAAATGAGACGTGTTTTTGCAGCCCTGTATTTTCTCACCCATCCAGACCAGTAATGATTGGTGCTGACAATGCTCAGAAAATTCTTCTTTACAACCTCACACACTTTTAAGAAAAATTAACTGTCTAGAAGTTTTTACCAAGAATCACATTCCAAATGAATGAACTAATTAGTTAGGAAAGGTATTGCTTTATTATGGAAAGAGAAACCTTGCACCACAATGATAGTACAAAATGTATGAAATGTCCTTTTATTTTATGGCACCGGAGGAAGACGGACTTGCTAAGGAACATGGGATGGCTATTATTAATTATCTCACTTAAAGATCACCTCTGTGTGTGAAAAAAAAAAGATGGTTATCAATCAGGACTTGAGAGATTTGAAAGGATGAGAGAGAGAAAAGAGGAATGGGAAGGGGGCATCTCTAGTGGTGTTGTTCAATGACCTTGTGCCCCAGTATGTTTAAATTGCTTACTTCCTATAACTCTATAAACTTCTGTGTTTTCATTTGCCGGATTAGATTGAAGTGTCAACTATATTTGATGAATGGTATTGGTAATATATGTTCATGTTCGTCTTTGCTCTTTCTGCTTTTATTTATATAGAGTCAGTATAATTTATTTCTCCTGAAAAAGCTTTCAGCAAAAAAGATTTTTTAAAGTACAAATACTTTTTAACAGGGCTCTCGGGTTTGTGATGATCAAATCACTCATCTTTCCATCGTTTTTTCCTAGGGTTCCTCCCGCCCCTGCTTACTTTTCTTTTATATCCAGGGGCTGAGAGCATAACATAGCAAAGTTTAATGGTTACACCTAAACAAATTAAAAGTTAGGATTGTAGGCAAGCTTTGAGTTCATTCTATGTGCATTATGTGGAATGATATATGAACTTGAATAATTACCTGAATAATTAAAAATGCTCATTTGGACCCTTCCCTGTTCAAACATTTTTTTCTTCTCTCTGATAACTAGCCAAAATACAGACTTGTGGACTTAGTATTGTTATAATGAACTAAGGAATCTGTTCATCCCCGAGGGGGTGGTCTTGGGCAGGAAGTCTCTGGAATTCTTGAGGTTAAGTGGTTACTGGTGTTGTGTGCCCTCAAGTTGAGTTGGAAACGACTCATAGCTCACCCTACTGCAGATTTCCAGAGGCATCACACTTAATTGTGCTCATGAGAAATATATACCTAGATTAAGAAGCTCTTGTCTGAACAAAGCAGGGGAACACCGCAGGATTTAGTATCAGGAAGGGTGTATATCAGGGTTATATGTTCCCCCCCCCCAACCCCGTAACTGTTCAATCTGTATACTGAACAAATAAGTCTCAAACCTGGACTCTATGAAGAGGAATGTAGCATCAGGTTTGGAGAAAGACTCATCAACAGCCTGCCTTATGCAGATGACACAGCCCTGCTTGCTGAAGTGAGGAATATCTGACACACTGCAGAAGGTAAAGGACTGCAGCCTTCAGTATGGATTCCATCTCAACATCAAGAAAACAGGTCCTCACCACTGGACCAATAGTCAACATTACGATAGATGGAGGAAGGATTGAAGCTCTTAATGATTTCATCTTGCTTGGATCAACAGTCAATACCCTTGGTACAGGCAGCCAGAAAATCAGAAGAGAAGTATTGCTTTGGGTAAGTCCTCAGGCAGAGTCCTCTCCAAAATGCTGAAGAGATGATATGAAGACTAATCTGTGCCTGATTCAGGCCATGGTCTTCTTATTCATCTGTTGCACAATAGAGACCTAGGGAAAGAATAAGGATGATAGAGGAAGAACTGATGCCTTTAGGTTGTGGTTCTGGAGAAGAGTATTGGATATATTCAAGAACTGCCAAAAGAACAAAGAGGTATGTCTGGGGGGGAAATGCAGACAGAGTGCTCCTTGGAGGCAAAGATGACAAAGCTTCATTTTTCATAATTTGAGCATGTAACTAAGCAAGGCTATTCCTTGGAAAGAGACATCATGCTTGGAAAAATGAAGGTCAGTAAAGGAGAGGAAGACCCCAAATGAGATGGACTGACATAGTGATAGGACAGAGTTCAGGTCAGCTGTTCACAGGACCTCATGAGTTGTACTTGACAGCACCTAACAACAACAAATTGCAAGGGATGAGATTGCCCATTTTTCTCCCATGGAGCTTCTGGTGGTTTAGAACTGCATGCCTTTGAGATTGTAACCTCTTGCCCTAAAGCTGAAATGGAGTACCTTGATAATTGTGTAAGCAATTATTCACTGGCTTTTACTTACATGAAAATATTGTTTCTGTTAATGATCATTCAAAGGCTCTCTAAAGATTACTAGGAAAGAGTGAGGGGGGAGAGATGGGATAGAAGTCACAATGTCAGCCCAGTTGACATGTGAAAGCTGCCATGCACAATAGGCAAACCCCAAACCATTGTCAATGAGTCAGTCTCAACTCACAGTGGCTCACAGGTTAGAGTAGAGTTAACTGCTCCACAGTTTCCAAAGCTGTAATTTTTAAGGAAGCCAACTGTCGCGTCTCTCTTCTGTGGAGCAAGGGGACAGAACCTCTGATGTTTTGGTTAGCAGTGAAATATTTTAACCACTGTGCTACCTGGGCTCATTCTTAGTACACTCACTCTCTCATTTCTTTCAAGCCAGAACTGACTCCTAACAGACCTGTCGCTGGGTTTCCAAATCTGTAAATCACAGAAGACAAAACATCTATTTTTTCTCCTGATTTTTTTTATGCTTTTTGGCTAGTGGATTCTATCCACTAGAGAGGTGTGATTATTGAGTTCAGCACAACTTCTTACAGGATACACTAGGAAATTGGAGACAGGAAAAAGACTAGGGAAAACATAAAAGCGAAAAGCCAAACTCATTGCTATCAAGTTGATTTTGACAGGTGGGGCTCCCTGTGGTATAGAGGAATGTCTCAAGTTCTGAGCCACATGTTCTGTCAGGTTCTATACACAAGCCCATGCTTTGTAGAGTTCTCTTGGCTGGGATCTTTAAAGGAGTTGTCTAGGTCTTTCTTCTGTGGCAGTGCTTGAGTGGGTTCTAGCCATAAAACTTAAATTTAGCAACTGTATATAAAACTGAATCTGGAAGAGTCCATTTTCTGTTATAAATATCTATACTTTCCTTTTCTTTTTCATGTTCTTTCCTTATCCTGAACTGTATCTTTCCTCCATGTCTCCTTTCTTTTATTTCCTTCTATACATTCTGCTATCCAAGAATTTCTTCTGCTAATTAAAATCCTAAAGTTAAATGGATCTTGGAAGAAAGCAGAGAGTACCAGAGGAACGTTTATCTGTGTTTCATTGATTATGCAGAGGCTTTTGACTGTATGGATCACAACAAGCTGTGGATGACTCTGAGAAGAATGGATCCCAGGACACTTGATTGTGCTTATGTGAAACCTATACTTGGACCAAGGGGCAGTCATCAGAACAGAGGAAGGAGACAGTGTATGCCAGGGATGTATTCTGTCTCTATACTGTTTCAATCTATATGCAGAACAGATCTTTCAGGATTGCCGGGCTGTATGAGGAAGAATGTGGAATCAGGACTGGAGGAATATTCCTCAACAACCTGCGTTATGCAGATGACATAGCCCTGTTTGCTGAAACTGAGGAGGATCTGGAGCACTTTCTGCAGAGGGTCAAGGACTGCAGCCTTCAATATGGAGTGAAGGTCAACATCAAGAAAACAAAGATTCTCTTCTGAGAGGAAGAAGCAACACGGAGGGAACGGGGGCAATTTGAGACCGCAGCCAGTACCATGAGCCTCCTCAACAAGCCCACGAGTGAGATGACCCGGGAGGAGCTGCAGAAGCGAGAGGAGGAGGAGTTTAACAAGGGCCCGCTCTCCGTGCTCACGCAGTCGGTCAAGAACAGCACGCAAGTGCTCATCAACTGTCGCAACAAGAAGATCCTGGGCCGTGTGAAGGCCTTCGACAGGCACTGCAACATGGTGCTGGAGAAAGTGAAGGAGATGTGGATCGAGGTCCCCAAGAGTGGCAAGGGCAAGAAGTCCAAACCCGTCAACAAGGACCGCTACGTC